TCCTGTTGGACCCGCATCTGTTGCCAGGGGGTGGAGCAGTGGAGATGGATGTGTCCCATCAGCTGATGGAGCGTTCTCGAGCGCTGACTGGTGTGGAGCAGTGGCCGTACCGTGCTGTGGCTCATGCCCTGGAGGTCATCCCACGCACACTCATCCAGAACTGTGGAGCATCAGCAATACGTGTGCTCACTTCCCTTAGGGTACGTTGATTCAAAAAGCGCATTTAGATTCTTTTATTTTTCTCTCAGCACGTTACTGCCTCTCCTGAGTCACTGACACTCAATTGCCGTTTAAGTGGTCTCTGTTTCGGACTCTTTTTCAGGCCAAGCACACTCAGGAGGGCAACACCTCATGGGGTGTCAATGGAGAGACAGGAACTCTTGCTGATATGGAGCAGCTGGGGATCTGCGAACCACTGGCAGTTAAAGCCCAGACCTACAAAACTGCAGTGGAGGTAAAGACACAATTAATTAATTTGAATTATTTTTTTAATTAATAAAAAAAAATTGTGCAGGTCTTAAAAAGCCTCAACTTTGATTTTAAAAACTCTACAGATACACTGATTTAAACTCGCTCAAGGTTTTCTTATAGGACTGTTAACAAATTTTCTCTTTTTCTTCTTTTCATTTAGACTGCCATCCTGTTACTGCGCATTGATGACATCGTTTCTGGTCACAAGAAGAAGGGAGATAACCAGATGGGTGGAGCACCGATGGAGGGCCAGGAGTAGAGGGAACAGGTGATACAGAGGATGAAGGAACCAGAGTACAGAAAGGACAGTAACGCAGCAAATGAAGAGCATATATACACAAGCATTTATCTGTGCAAAGCACCATTCTCCAACACAATGTTCTCATCAGAAAGCCATTTGCACTGTTGCGTCATTAGGCCAGAAGCTCTTCTCACCTCGTTTGTTTTTTTTGTTTTCCTTTGGCAAAAGAAACAACTCTGGATTGGTTTAGGATGTTTGTGCTAGTATCTCTGTGCTTCACTTTGCCTGTATTGTTACTTTGTATTTCCTACCGGTGATAAATTTCAAAATCTAAACATGTTGTTTTGAATTTTTTTGCTTTGTGCTGAAACCCCTACAAATTGTACACAAATTAAGGTATTTATAACACCTTGGTAGTTAACCAAGATTCCATGATTTGTAGGGTGATTAAAAAAAAAATCAAGAAAGCTGCAACCTTTCCAAACAAAACCGCAGTATTTTAGGATTTATTTGACAATCTTTTTTTACATGCATCAAAGTTCAGTTCCCATTTTCTCAAATGCAACACTTAAAGCTGCAAGTCCGTAGCTTTTTTGGGTAAAAAAAATATCCAAAATAAGTTTGAGCAAATACATAACCAGCCAGTGTTCAAAACTCTCTGCTTGCCTCAGCTCGATTCAAAACGGTAAGCTTGTAATAATGTTTTTTAATTCCAGTGGTACTGGTGGATTTCCGCGGGATGACGCAAAGACATCCACACATAGAGGAGTCTCGGCTAGTAGGCTATATTGCGTATGAGGATGTTGGAGATTTATAGCCTTTTCTCACTGCACTTGATATAATTAAACTTATCACACACATTCTCCTCAAAACATTGGATTCATCCACGAGGTAGCCTGGGAAAACCCAGACAACTTCCGGCAAATTTAGATTTGCTCTGAAAGTGAGTCTGGCAAAGAGCTCATTCAAGCTCATTTCCAATCCGCCGAAATCGCGGCACCAATCAGAAACGTTGGGGCGGGCTTTACACGATGACGACTGCGCTGGGATTTTGAAGCAAATTTTGTAGCCTACATTACAAAGATGGATGCCGCCGTCGAACATCACTTGTTCGAATCAGCTATCGCGTCTGTTTTAAGCGATTTGAACGTTTCCTTTTAGTTAAAAACCGAGCAAAGAACAACACTCAGAGATGTTTTTCCGACGCTCTGCATACGTCATCTCCATCGCTCTGATTGGGTTTAGGTCTATCCGCGACGTCCTTTGGTGACGCCCCTCTGGAAATGATTTTTCTATGACGCTTTGCCAGACCATAACTCAGTTACAACTGAGAATGGTCTGGTTTTAACCAGGCTAGTGTCGAGGCACAACTCACGTAAAGTTGACAATTCCGTGAATAACTGCAATTGCAGATTTCGAACAGAGATGGCGACAGAGGAAAAATTGCGGACTGCAGCTTTAAGTTCAATTCAATAACATGTATTAGGTATCATGAACTATCAATGAACAAAGTCGAGGAGAGATCCCCTGATAAGATTGTATAGCGCTTTGGGTGTACAGTAATACATATGAAAGCGCTATATGCCTCCATTCATTCACCAGACATTAAACACAGCATTTACAACATGTTAGTGACTGTGGCTGTAAAATAATGTACAATAAAAAACAACAACATTGAAATAGTACAGTTGAATAGTTTACATTTTGATGGTCCACAAGACATTCTACTAACTATAAGTAACCAACTTATTCTACGAACCCTAACCTAACAGTCTACTAATACTCAGAGTTAGTTGACATGTAGTTGAAAAGTTATTTATAGTTAGTAGAATGTTTAAAGTGGACCATCGAAAATAAGTGTAACCGGTGAATAAATTATAGTTCATTCTAAATCATAACCCTTAAAATATATTGTACTAGTTTTTACTGTCATTATGATGCACTGATAAAGAAACAGACAACACTTGAGTCCAATGAAAGTGTTCAGATTCACTTAACTTCAAATCATCCAGAAGGGAAAAGCACCCATAAATGCCATGAAGATCAGTTATTCTGCAAGTCTGGTTGCATGTTATTAAGTATTTGTGTCACTGTATGGAACTCAGACCTGATCTGTCATTATCACCACAAGTATTGAATCTGTCTGCAGTGCTTGCCTAGAGACACAATACATTCAAATTTACTATCAGTCATGGGTTGCAATTCAGCATTCACACCAAACGACAGCATGACACAGATTTATGATCAGGAGAGAGGGATGAGGACGTCACCCCTGGGCTCGCTCTCCTGTCTCTGGGTCCACTTTGCTGTCTAGATCTGACAGAGAAAAAGGATAAGTATAAAAAAATGATCCTTTACAAAATATGTATCAGGCATATGGTGATCACTTTACATCACTGCCAGAGCCACGGTCTGCTTCTCTTACCCATTATCGTATTGTTGGAGGACAGGTGCCGTTGCTGGTTAATAAGGCTAATGTTGGAAGGTCCCAGATCGTCTGATATTGTGTAACTCAAACCTGTTGGTGGATCCATATCTATGTCCATGGCTGTTCAGATAGTGGGGGAACAATAGCTTTAATAATAATTTACCATGCATAACAATAACAGTGCTTTTTGGCTGCTGTAGAATCACACTTTAAAGATCCACTAAAAATCACATTTGGGATCAGTTCAAAGTCTTAAAAAGAATTGCACAGAAAGGCTGTTAGTTCTGAGAAAAGGGACATTTTATCAACAAATGCAATAACATTGGACAATATAGAGGTATCTACACTGAATGTATTCAAAGATTAGAAACTGCACTAGTTACATTCACGCTGACCTAAGAACTCTTCGTGCAGATGGGAAGCAGACTGTGGGGGTCTAGAGAAGGTCTTGACTTCGACGGCTCGGTTGATCCCGCAGTTTGAAACGGAGGATCCTACCTGAGACGGGGGTTCACATGTTCTCCAGTGGCCTCCAGCGGGCACGAGCGTGCTCCTGCAGTCTGTGTAAAACAAGTGCTATTACATAACTTAATTTACAACTTCCGACAGGCAGCTGGCACAATGAAAAGATAATATTACTCGTAATTCAACAAAACAAAGGCACCCAAGGGTCAAAACTATAGTCGAGGCCGAGGGCAAAAGCAGACTGTTAGGCTACGATAAATGTCTCGCATATGCCAAACCACAACTTTTCTCTTCAAAAGCACATTTTAATTATATTTTTTTCAACAGGTTATTATTTATACATGTTATGGGTTTTAATTGCTTGTATGAATTAATTAATAGTCATTAAATCAAGTTCTGTCATCGATCTTCTTACCACTGCACACGTTTCTCTTCAGCTTTCTAAACGGGCAGTTCTCCCTCATCCGAAACAGACAAGCGCTTCTGTGTTTCCTTCGGCCTTGAGATGACATTCTGACTCAGACTTATACAGTGTGATATGAATATATTATTATTAAAGTGCTGGTGGTCTGCCGTCAACTTTCCATGTACTCGAGCTGTCAAATGACAACAAGTAGTAGGAAATACTTTTTGCCCTCCGACAAAAATTGTACTAGGACTTGTTGAACAGGTTAGAGACGACCATCGTCGCAAACACTGAACTGCGTTTTTGCATTTACTTTATTAACAAAAAGTCATTCACAGAAATGAGAGTCAAGATTGATTCTTTAAAAAAAATGTGTTTATGAAAAAATACCAAACAGGAATTAATTCCAGCATTATACATTCATTTGCTCTAAACAGGTTTCTTATATCCTTGCAGCTTTGATTTAATTACAAGCTCTTTTCTGTGATAACTAAAGTTATAGCTTTCTATACATTATTATTATATATATATTTTTTACAAATCTGTAAAAAATGTATGTCTACACTTTACACAAAGTAAACATCACATTGCCCTTAAATTAGCAAAGAGAGATTAAGGAGCTGTGGGAAAATACAAGTTTGGGCAGGCCACTAACTTCACACACCACACAATATTTTAGACTTGAATAAACAAACAATGCCTAACCAAATTTAAAAAATACATGCTTGTGGAATAAATATTTAGAATTTTGTTAACTTCTTGTTGACATTCACATCTTAAAATAGATGAGTTTCAACCATGGAGCTTTCGGTTGGGGAAGAAGCATATTCTACATTTGCTTTGTTCATGTTTGGCTGTACTAAAGGTAGTTCATTTTAATTTGCAGTTTAGTATTTAAAGTTTCACTACACAACTTCTATTTATAAGTTAGTTCTAGAAAAAAATACATTCCCCCCTTCCTCTCTCTCTCTCTCTCCTTTGACTGGAGTTCTGGCTATTTTGACCCACCTGGTCATGGTATAGAAGTAGTCAGGAAAGCAAAGAACAAGAGTGGAAAATGAAATCACAGTTGGATTAAACATTCTCAGACACAAATGTCCAATTTAAGTTGGCTCTAAGCCTAAAGAGATCTAGTCTTTCATTTGGCAGTAGCAGAGGTGTGGCTTGTTTAGCCCCAGAACCTCTGTTTGGTTTGAGGAACAGGTGTCTCTGGGATGTCTGGGGCGAAGATGGAGCCTGCGGATTCGGAGAGGAAGATGAAGTAGAGGTTGGCCACCAGCATAACCACCATGGGTAGAAACGAGAACCCAAAGCCGACTCCTCTGAAACTGCTGCCACATGCGGCTGCGACCCAGTACAGCAACCTGTGATATGCACAAAGACACACACAATCACACTTAAAAATATAATACAAATAAGTGTTAATACACATTGAATATCTGGGATTGAAATTCTAACTGAAACCTATAAATAAACTAAGATTGGGGGGAAAAAACTTTAACATAAACATGACAAAAAGTGAAAAAAGTGAATTAGTCATTGCCAATCAATCACTAGATATGAGAAATGTCTGAGCAAGTGTTTGCGGCCTTTTCTAAATCAGAGATTAGGTCCTGTACGTTTAAAATGGGATTCTGTACCTGCCAAAGGCAAAGACGATGGTGAGAAGAGGAATTAGTTTCAGGAGATCCTGTTTCAGGTAAGCAGCCATGACAGCCAGTTGGAGGAAGTAAAGGAGGAAGAGGGAGATGGAATCCTCCACATAGCGCTGGTGAACTTCCACCTGCTTAACTTCTCTCTCCCCCTCAAACCGTGGCTTCAATGAGCGATACCACAGACGAGACACACCTAGTACCAACATACCTAAGAACAACAGTTTCAAAACAAAGATACACTATCTATCAATGTCGCGTCATTTCAATAGTCACAACAGTCTGGGTGCTTCCTGCTTACCAAGGACAATTGGTATGACTGCAAAAACAGAGCAGCGCAGTGTGTAGACCAGCCGTAAGGGCGCACTGTCAAGCAGAGGGGCATCAAAGGGCAGGAAGACGTACCCGCCCCACACCAACAAGGGGAAGATCAAAGCTGAAGTGAACATGGACGCACCCAGTTTAAGAGCATCACGATTAGATCCACCAAAATTACCTGGGAGGAAGAAAAAATTAGACCTTACAAAGTATTGTTGCAGTTCAGTCAGAGCTGTGCGGATCACAACATTGGTCCTTTCTGCTGTTTTGTGTGAAGGTACGGTCACATTGACAAAATTTTGGCAGAATTTCACAGAACAAAATAATAATTATGTAAATGTAAAAATTACATTGGTTATACCCTTTTTTACACTTCATTCAACACTCAAAATAACAAATTAAAAAGTTCTAAAATGGGGTTTTCGCAGATATAGAAGAACCATTTCTGGTTCCATAAAGAGCCTTTCATTGAACAGGTCTTATAATAACCATTTTCTTCTTAGTGTGAAGAACATTTTAATAATCTAAAGAAACCTTTTTTTTCCACTATAAAGAAGCTTTTGTGCAACAGAAAGGTTCCATGGATGTTTACGGTTCACATGGAACAATCAATGCTAATAAAGAGCCTTTATTTTTAAGAATGAATAATATTCAAGGTATACATTTTACCAGTTCATGCATTCTTGGGAATTGAACCTATGACCTTGCCGTTGCTAGCGCCATGTTGGTGATTTATGATTTAACTTACAGCAGCGTGATTTGGTTGTGACTGGCCAGTCGTGGTAATAGCCTTCTATTGGTGTTCCATGTGTCTCATGTGTCCCGAGGAAGACGCTTCTCTCTTCTTCAGCATCTCTCCAGCGGTCTGCAGCCTCCTGCTGGCTGGTGGAGCGCAGGATGGTGATGCTGGGGCTGAAGACTCGGGCTGCGTTCTCTGGCATCATGTTCATCTCCTCCACCTCTATCTCTGAACAGGTGCTTTTCACTCCGTTTCTCAGCTCAAAGTCAGAAATGCTCTCTTTTCCTGTCTCCATTTCTCTCCATTCCTCACCTGTCTTCCTCTTCTCTCCCATCCCAAACTCCTCTCTTTCGCTCTCAGTCCGGCTCACTCCACCCCGGAGCGAGATGCAATCTGATCTCACGCTTACGCTCTCTCCATCCTGGACTGGCAGAATCTGTGGTCCGGGTTTATTCTCAGGCCACTGTAGGGTACTGGGTTCCATATTTGCAGACTTGATCATTTCCTCTTCCTCCTCCTCATTGTTCTTCACATTCTTTGTTAGCTTGTCCACATCTGCTACCCATTCAGGGGTTTGGGGCACCGCTGCTGGTCCAGGAGGGCCCGTGTCCATTGTCCCTGGCTCTGAATACAGAAATTCTGACAGTGAAAGAAATGGAGAAGCTGGGAACAGCCTGTCTGAGTAATTTTGTAAGATGTTTAAATTTTCTGAAAGGTCAGCTTCTACAGGAATCAATATGTAATGAATTATTGGAAGAATAAATTATTAAATGTATTCATACTACAGTAAAGAAGAGCAATAACTTAACCAATCAGCTAGTCGTTAAGTGTGTCTCCGGTATACCTTAGCTCATGATGCTTTTCAGAATCATGGCCCTGATAAATACTAGTTTAACCTGGACCTGTATGAATTTCTTTATTCTGCTTAACCCAAAAGAAGATATTTTGAAGAATATTGGTAACCAAACAGGTGATGGGCCCCATTGGCATCCATAGTATGTTTTTTCCCCATACTATAGAAGTCAATGGGGCCCCTCAACTGTTTAGTTACCCATATTCTTCAAAATATCTTCTTTTGTGTTCAGCAAAAGAAATAAATTCATACAGGTTTGGAACAGCTTGAGGGTGAGTAAATTATTTGGGTCAACTATCCCTTTAAGCTACTTCCCAGAATAAAATGCATTTTTGGGCTGTCTTAACTGAAAGAAAGACAAATCATAAAACATGTCAGTGCCATTGTTTCATCTCAAGATTGTAAAGTAAAGCACATACCAGTCAAGTTTTTTTTCTAAGACTATACATAGGCTATAAAAGTCGTAAAAGGAAGTTGAGTTCCCTAAACTATTAAGACAGTGGAATTTTAGTTATTTAGAAGGAAATTAGGACCTGCGACATTTTAGCCATAATAAGTAGTGTCACTACGTATTAGCCCGACTAGTTCGTAGACGAAAAACAGAGAAATTGAGCGAGGCCTCAAAACAACATGGACACATGAGCGCATAAACAGAGCGAGTTCAGAAGAACCACATAATAACTCTAAACGACAACACTTATTCTCAGGCTAGTATTGTCTACAGGACACATATGATCTTCATAGTGTCCAAAAAGCCTTATTTTAATAACGAGAAGAAGAAGATTCCAAAATCAGGCCAAAATGAGTTTAAATCGTAGGCTACGGCATGTCAAAACAGTCGAAACATTGAAAAGCGCTAGAGCGACAAGGCTTGTGGAACATTTATCACGTGAAGAAAAACTTTCTAATGTGCTCACCCAAATTTCAGCGCAGGTTATTTTGCTTTCAGGATTGGTTTTCGCCTATTGAAATGAATCTCCCGAAGTGGAAGTTCAGGTGTGTCCAGGTGAAGTTTGTTAAAGGGAAAGACTCTTAAAGGGGAAGTTTGTCAGTCAGGTTCTTAAAGTGTCATCGGTGTTGTTGCACTACGAGCCTCTTTTCTTTACACATACTACATAATGTGATATGTATGTATGTGTGTGTACACATTTATCAGCAGGGCTTCACTTAATGAGTTTATGTTTGTGAAAAAGAAAAGAGGCTCAGTGCAACAATACCGTTGACACTTTAAGAACTTGACTGACAAACTTCCCCTTTAAGAGTCTGCCCCTTTAACAAACTTTAACCAAAAACATAGACATACATTTCCTACTAAAACCAGTTTAAGGTTGCTTGTTTGTCTTTGCAGGTTTAAGCTGGTCTCCTGGCTGAAAAGTGCCCCCAAACCCCTCTAAAACCTTCAAAACAGACCAGCCTTAATCAGCTCTGTCAGGTTGGGAGGCTATAACCACCTTAAACTGGTTTAAGCCAGTTTGTTTTATTTTTTCAAAAATATATATTTGGTGTTTTTGTAAGACTACATTAATTCATAAGAGTATTTCCTTTAAAGTTCATCTAGAGAATCAAATTAGGAAGGTGATGGAGACTTTTAGGCTGATAATTTATTTAAAAATAAATTTAACAGGTCACTCTTTAGGTAGGCTACTATCATAATATTGGTACATCACAGCTTTGTCGCAGTAGTCAATGTGTTTGCTTTCATCTACAAGCTAAACAACATGTCACAACAATTCTATACAATACCAAAGACATTGGAAATCTTTTGGCAAGTGTCGAGAACATAAATGTAAATCTAAATTATGATTCTTCAAAAACAAATGAGGCTGAACAATATAGCACAAGATTGATTCAGTTCTGCACCGTTACAACGTTGCAATGAGAACATAATGTCAGTGAAAGCCATGACTGTAAATAGCACAACATGCTTGATGAAGTAGCACTCCTCTCGCTACATTACATGTCTCATTACCTTTCCCTCTACAATAGGCCTGATTCATTTTGCACCACATACGCTGTTCTGAGCTCAAAGAGCCCCTGTGGGATGTGGCGCTGTAAAATGGAGCCGTCACTGCTTTCCTGAGGTTGAGTGAAAGCACATCTGTACATGGTGGCATGAGAAGATGAAGACAGATGACTTTGAGAAGTTTTCTGGCTGCACACTCCCTCCTGTGAAAGTTGCTGTCAGCATGTGTGCCAGCTGTTAGCATAATGCTAATGAAGGGGTTAAGGCTGTTTGCATGCTGTTCTGGAGGTTCATCTGATGTCTTTCTCAACAGGAGAAAATGTTTTTGGACCAAAAAGAGTCCGAGTGAAGGGATGAGTGTCCCCTGCCATCTGATCAGGCATTTGAATTGGAACTAGATTTTATGAATAATGCTTACATGAAAGAATTACATGAATTAGTTGAAAATTGTAAAAACATTCTGGACAATGAAGTGTTTTTCCACCTCACCCACAAAAGTAACATTTTTAAATATGATGAAATGTACAGTGCCCGGCCAAATAAAAAGTTGCTGTTTGGATTTAAATAAGGCAAATGCTTAAGAGTCTATGATTGGATAATTAGTGTAGTGATTATTATGTTTCTAGCATGTTATATGTTTGGCAACAGTTCTTCTAACCCTAATTAATGGAGTGTGTAGCTTTTCATTTCTTAAACAACCATGTAGGAAGTGACATCATGGCCATATTCCAGGATTACAATGTAAAGATTGATCAGGCTCAAAATTGTGAAAGAATGGTTGGGACGGAGCATGAAGAATCATTTTTCATTGAAGAGTCCAGACTTCACTGAAAGTATGTATCCAAGATTGGATCTTGACCAAAAACTGATGCACCTCTTGATGAAAATAAATGTTGCAATGTTAATGTTGTGATGTAATTTTTGATCAAAATCTTGCATCGACAATGCAAGGGTCGAGCACTTTGAAAAAGTCCAAACAGCGACTTTTTTTTGGACAGGCAGAGTATAAACTAAAACTAAAATTCTATAGGTGACATTTAAAATTTATCAATCCGTAAGGTCTATAAACCTTCGAATTTCAAGGTTTTTAAAACTTTTTCCGACACCTCAATTCAAATTCAGCAGCTGAATTGGAATTTAAAAGTATGAATAAACATCCCTGTCATACGCACGTTTCATTTCCATTTTAATGTTGTTTTATGTATTAAGACACTCACTAGGTGAGATGTAAACATATCTTTTTTTTTTATTTGGAAACAAATATAAAAGCACATTAAAATGCAAAAGCCACTTGTAAACTACATGGCACATTTTCAGTTTGAATAAAGTCACCAGCATCTCTCTGCATTTTAAAGGCTCAAATATATTGTACACGCCACTCAGCTAAGACACAATGTGCATCGTGAGAACAGCAGGTTGGTGTCATGGAGAAATAACACCGCTGCAATACTGACTCGAAAGCAATAGCTAAGTTGCACCTAAATGGCAATATTGACCTCCTCTGCACGCAAGACACATATCGCACCTGTTTATTTCAGCTTCATTTCTATTGAACATGTAAGTCAAGCAAATCACAGGTGAACCAGACTTTGAGAAGGAAAAATAACACTGCGCTGATAGCCCGGGCAGAACGGCAAACAAACGTTTGATAGAACAGTCCATTTCAACATCAGCAAATACTGAAGAACAACAGATAGGAAATCTGACTCCTCCTATTAAGAACACTGTAGAGAGAGGCGGGGAAAGGACCTGGCAAATCAAACATTCAATTTGCCCACAGAGGCTGGTAGGTCAGTACATTGATTGACATTTAGCTGAATAACAGCAGGGCAAGTTTCTCTGGCTGTTCTGTAAACACGCGGATTTATAAGGCGCAAAGCTCAAGAGTCCCAAACCGAAGAGCTCAGAGAATGTAATCATCCTGGAACCAATGCACTGTGGTTTTATGATAAGTGTGGAATGAGTCATTGAGAAATGGATTAACCTACTTTTTCATTTTCCAATTTCGGAATTGTTAATTTGTCTTTCTTTGGACATAGAAAATAATTAACCGTATTGTTTGTCTGTAATAAAGCTATTCGGCTGGTTTTAAACATAAAAGATTCATCGCTTAGACTTTTCAGCCATGCTGAACGTGACATCAGTGGTGGAAGCTATGAGTTGAAAAAACCCTGTCAGAACGCATGAGACATGAAAGTGGGTTTAAGTGCAGTTTTCAAATGGAAAATCCAGACCCACAAGTACACAAAACCACCATCACGAAACAACAACACTTGAGGGGTACAGTCGGCTCTGAGGTGGAGGAGGTGGGTTGGTGGTTGTGTGTGTCGGCGTGTGTGTGTGTGTGTGTGAGTGTGTGCGTGTGAGGTAATCATCGCATGTCTCCTAGCCTGAAATCTGGCTAGCAGCTCAGGCAATGCGGTAGTCGAACGTGTCTTTTTCCATATAGTCTGTCCATGTGGAACTCGGCATGCTACTGTACGGATCCAGAAGGATTCGGAAGCAGCGCACGATCAGCAGCCCCAGAAAGATGAAGAGGAGGAGGACGAAGACGAAGGCAGCCTTCTGTTCCAGCGTGAGGAAAGGGATGGGCTGGGTGGCCCCAGACGCAGACAGCGTGCTGCTGTGGAGATGCTCGGCCATCCTCTCCAGTTCCTCGGCACGGGTCAGGGGCACGCGGCCATTTTCGCCACATTCGTGATCAACAGGTTCCTGTTTAGAGCCATTCTGGAAACACACAAGACGATTAGGAAAAATTGCTCCGTTAACAACAAGAAAATACATTTTTAAACATGAAATGTCAACAATATTACATTAGTTTCACATACGTTCAGTTTGAAGACCTAACAACATTTTTGAGAATTCCCGACAACAATTTCACAGCCAGCGCAGGCCTCCCGTTTAAAGGCATATACAACCACTACGTTATGTAAGATTACTGTGTACATGTTTTAAAAGCATTAAATCCTCCAGCTCACATTACTAATGCACATCAGTGAAATGATTCAGCCTTGAGTGAATTATCTCTCTCATCTTAAGGTGATCGAATCGGTTTCTGACTGGGTTTTTGTCATGCCCCCTGATTCATTCTCGGTTTCTGTGGTAGTCGCTGACCCTTTAATGGTTCACTTCTTTGATGCCAGCGCTCACGATCAGCCCTGGCACTCCCTGTAAAGCCTGGCTCAATTTCCCCAAACGTGAAGGTTTCTCTTGAACAGTCGCACGCATCATATGGCAATGTGTTGTTCAAAATCCAACCGCATGAGCATTGGGTACCTGTGGTTCAAAGTGCCCGACACTAACACGTCTCCATTTATGATTTTATTTATCAGATTTCCATGTAAACATCTAATCGATCCCTCCTTAAAATGGGCTAAATTGCATTCTCACCGCTCTGACAGTTGAACTGGTGACGTCTGTACACACACTCACACACAGGGCTGTGGATGTAATGGAAGCCTTAGTTACTCACCTGTTGTTACTGAAGAGGATTCATCAGTGGGAGGGTGATGGAGACCCGAAATAAGCAGGGAGAGAGACGTCTTCCATCACGGCTGTCCGCCCAGAGACAGAAGGCTGTCACAACTTTTTCAACCAAGCTCGTCGATTTGTTCAGCAATCAAAATAAAATCCGCGGCTCTCCGCTTCCATTCCTCTCCTCTGTGGTCCAACTCCCTCTTTCCCTCGCCAAGATGAGCATGTAGTGGTGTCACATCACCCATAGCAACCAGTTGCCATAGCAATCCCTCCAAGTGTGTTCAGTAAAGCTGAGCTGGTGAGAGACAAGTGTGATCCAGCCAAAGCGCAGTGTAAACGTGTGTTTCTGTGAAGGCGGAGGATTTAATACAGACCGACTGATGTGTGATAACGACAGCGGCTAAAAATAGTGGCCACTTTTAACTTTGCAGGATTAACAAATTTTAATACGGTCTTTACTACAAGCTGCTCGCGAATGTCAGCCAATCAGCTTAAATGGGGAATGTCGTGCTTTCAGACACGCTGCTGTCATTTGATATGTCTGTGTGTATATACACTCAGTCTCCACATCTTCAGTGCACTGTCAGTAGAAGCACAGTCTGTACGAGGTCTATTAACTGGATATATTTAAACATTACTGATAGATCAGTTGACTGACTGATTTATTTATTGTGTGATTGATGGCCGTGGAGAAATAACTGTGAAGTCTGGATAATATCCAGCCCTGAATGGTGCAAGGGAGGCTTCTCCATCATAGTGAATCAGGATTTTAAAAACACACAATGTTTTGGATGCATGTGAGATGGACAAATAATCTTAAAGGTGCCCTAGAAAGGTTTTTTATATTATTTTATAATGTTTCCTGGGTTGCCCTTATAATGTTAGTATGTTTTTTTAGATCAAAAATAGTCATAATTTAGAAATAAAAGGCATTTTTCCTACCCTGATTTTAGCCTCAGATTTGAACGCTCTGTTTGAAGGGGCGTGTCTGCTGTGTGTAACCGGCCTCTGCTGTGATTGGCTGACATGCTTGCATATGAAATAGCTATGTATTACATGTGAAACTCTCTCGAATAATTTTACTACAGCTATTATACGTTTTTACTATTACAGCTATCGAGATTAACGAATCGTGAGATGTTTTTAAAGTATTTAGATCAGTCCCATCACATACAATGTTGCCGTGATGACTGAGCATTGAGCAAGCAGATCACTTGATCGCGAGCATGAAGATCTTATCATGAAGATCTTATCATTGCAATGCAGTTTCTGCACTCTCTCTAATGCTTTCCCCAATGCAAACACGATCATGTAAATACAGTAAGAGCTTCGTTGTGCAGTGTAACGTGCGTCATTGATATCATAACGAGTTTGTCAAGTGTCCAGATAAACTCGCGCTGTGGAAAGATTGTTCTTTGATCGCTACAAACAATTTAAATAAGTTTTTTTTCATCCTACTAAAAGAAACGATGTGAAGTTGATATTTTAGTCACTGGCTAAGATTACCTGAGAAAGATTACCTGTCTGAACTTGAACAATTACACATCAGAAAGTGTTGCTTGGTAGCTCGATCCGAGGCCAGCTCTGTATTGGCCCAAGTTGAGGAAACAGTCGTCGGTGAAATGTTTGGAAATTTCCAGAGAAAATAAAATTAAGCCATTGTTTCTTCAGAGGCTCGGATGAGTGAACTAAAAAATACTTTTGTGTTCATGTGTACATCCACACTGAGCAACTGCTATGCTTCGGCTGCGCAGTTCCGCCTGGCATTGAACATGGGCTGGCATATGCAAATTCTTGGAGTCGTACATATTAATGATCCCGACTGTTGCGTCACAGTCGGTGTTATGTGGAGATTCGCCTATTTTTCAGGGGTGTTTTTCAAAAACGAGATTTAAGTAAGAAGGAGAAAACAATGGTGTTTGAGACTCACTGTATGTCATGTCCATGTACTGAACTCTTGTTATTTAACTATGCCAAGATAAATTCAATTTCACATTCTAGGGCACCTTTAAATAATAGGCAGTGTTTGTGAAGGAATACATAGTGTGTAAACCACTAGAGGAAGATAGGGTAGGACTATTATTGGTGTTATTATTATGAAGATAATTATTCATATGCATTTCTATGATGACTATGATTCTGCCAAATATATAAGTATGTATTATTTACAATCTGTAGAGGCATCAGAGGACCATAATCTGAATGCTATATGAAAATGATACAGATGATTCTGATGATGAACATCATAAATACACACACAGTTTGATCACTGTGAATATTATGGGGGGAGGGGGGGATCAATATGTGAATTGTAATTTGGCAATATTAGTTAAGCATATTGAAAAGACTATTTATTATGAATAACTATAGTTAACTGTAATATATCTAACCTTACATTTAATGTAATTTTACAGTAAAATACTGAGTTTTTGGAGGTGAAAAAAACCCCCAAGTCATTATAATTTACAGTTAAAAAACGTAAATTGACATTCCCAGAATTCCCTGCGTGACACTTTAATTTTAATGTGTTTTCGTCTAAATAACTGTTTCTTCTTATTTTTTTCTTATCAGTTATTAGGGTTTTATGTTACATCTAATGTTGTTAAATTGATGTTTATTACATTACTTTAGTGTAATTTTTGTTTCCATGATGGTGTTTAGTATTTGTGATGAATTCATCATGTGACTTTCTCATCACTCCCTGTTTTTGGTGGTTGTTATGGCTATTAGTACTTCAATGGGTTGGATAACATTATCAGTTAATGAAATGTTTTTTTTTAAACTGCAAATTTAAATAAAATCAGTAAAAACTAAAATGTTGCTACTGTATTTTTTTTACGTCAAAATCAACCACAGCCGGCGGTTTTTTTTTACCGTAGGCTACAATTTTTACAGTGTAATTTCACAGACCTTTTTTTTTTTCCACATACAAAATCTGTCCTATAACCTATCTAAAACACACAGCATATGCTATATTTAGTTTATCGGTTATAGATATAATTGTTTTATTCTCAGATGGGCAATTTATTATATGGCTAGGACACATTTCTCAATACTTAGGTCACTTTTTCAAAACTCTCCACACAGTGATCACAACAGCAGTCTATGTGAGCTAAACTGTGGATCATTTATCATTGCCTTTTCAATTTTTTCAATTTACATGAATTCTTTTCTCACTAAGACACAAACACCACCAAAACTTTATGTACTATACAGGCACATTTGTTTACACTCTCTTTTCAAAACTGTTAAACTTCAGTTCAAAACCTAACACAACACAAAAATGAATAAGAAAAAGAAATTATGAGAAATTTGCAACATTTCTAGTAATACCATATTGAAATGTATTCTGAATCTAAAAAATGAAATACTATCAAAACAAAGATGTAACTGAACACCTACACAAGTGTCACTGTAGTCTTTCAATTTCATCACCAACCATTCAAAAGGGGAAAAACTTAGGAATAATTTTGTACTGTTGTAAACATGGACCATGTTACATTCTGCCGTGAATAAAGCAGTAGTGAGTGTCATTCCTGATTTGTAAAGATTTATATATATATATTTTTTTTTTTACAAAAGAAAACATTGTATAATGCAGCCTGTTGTTAGTGTTTTTTTTAGGTTGTTGTTTTATGAGTGACAAAGTGTGTTTGTTGGGTGAAAACCTTTGCTAGTGTTATGGAAGAATGAGTTGATTTGAGACACGTATGAAGTGTTTTGGTAGTTTTAGAATTGCTTACACACAATTTCTGAAACAATGGTTAATTTTTTCAAAATTCTACAGACAAAATCACTAAACACGCTCAAAACATGCAAAACGTCACACATCTCTTGCAAAAGCAAACACTAACTATTTTAACTCTAAAAAAATGTTTTTGTGTAGTAACTCTGCACACAAACATCAAATGATTAGCCATATACACGCCAAAATACACACGGATATGAAAAATGTAAAACACTGTGTCTTTTGCATATTAACAATGCAGTAGAGTGTACAGGAGTTTGTCATAGTGCTCAGACATACAAATATACATAGCCTGAATCAACACTGAACTGACTTGAGATGTATAATGACAATATAGTATCAGCAGAATTTGAATATGTTACTACTATTGTGAAGCTGCTTTGAAACAGTCTGTATTGTAAAGCGCTATATAAATAAAGGTGACTTGACATGACATGCATTTTCAGTATTTACAAAATAAACAGAAATGCAAGGGTGAAAAATGTATTTGTTGTGATCAAATTAGGTATATTTACACTTTAGTAAACAGAAATCCAAGAGGGTAAAAATATTTTTTTTTCTTTCTGAAAACATTGAGTTTTGATTTGTGATCGATTTATGTATGCTAATCGGGTGTAGGTACTGGGGAAATGATTGTGGCATTTACAGTAACTGGTAGTGTTTTCAAAATGAAACACAAGAGCTGTTATTTTAATAATGTGTCTAATGTAGATAGTGTTTAGCGTTTTGCAAAAGTTTGTCTTACAATTGCAGATAATGTGCTGTTTTGCAGGTTTGGTCTCAAGATTAGACTGCAGGCTACATGGTTTCACCAGGCCTCGAGTAGCCTACCACTTTAGTTTGTAAGCCATTTAAAAAACTGTAGTGCACTATGAATGAGAAATTAACAGCTGCGCCAAGTTGAAAGTTGGTTAGGAGAACTGCATGAAGAATAAAAAAAAAAAATAGACCTGAGTTGAGAATATTTAGAAATTTGTCCTGGCGACTGTAATAACACAAATCAACTTTGAGTAATAATCTTTAATCGCCTACCTGAGATTTGCGTCTTCAAATCATATCTTGTTTTACATGTTTAGACATAAACTTCAGTCAGAGAATTTCCAGTCAAATAATGGCCATCTCAAAGCTCGGTATTCTCGTCTAAATATGTTGAAATAGCGCCACCTACCAGATGTCCGTTGTAGTCCACTGCACCTGAACTCGGAACATCTGGTTTCCTCCTAGGGAAACAGCTAGAGAACATCTAAACAATATCCTACATGTTTGGCTGTGTGGAACGTAGTAGGCTATTAATGTAAGTAAATTAATTTTAACCATCTTCTACCTTAATTTTTATGAATCAATCTGTAAGATTCATTCATGCTGGTAACATATGGCGTGGAAACTGGTCACCAGAGGTCTGATACAACCAGATTAATGTGTCAAATCCAAAAATAAGACACTTTATAATGAAGTATGGAGAACATTACATGACTTTACCATTTCTGACCGCTGGGTGGCAGCAGGGAACCGCCTTTGGGTTCTTTTCTCCTTTATAAAAAGTAGATCTGTAGATGGCGCTCTCTATCTCTGGAATACTTTTGTGCCAGACAAAAGGAAAACAACTACACGAAAACACAAACCTTTGAAACAGACTCAGATTTTATGTGAAGCATATAGTTTATATCACAAAAACAATATGTAGTAGGCTGTATTTATTTAATTAACCAAGGTTGCACTTAACTAGGTTTTTGACTTTATGGTAACAACAAACACAAAATAACCATTCAGTTAAGGGTGAGAAAGGGGTCTACTACTACTACTAAGACTTAAACAAGTAAGCACTAATCAACATCCTCTCATCCACCCAGTTAAAAACGAAATAAAACCAGTAAGCTTTCAATCTTTGCTTTCTCTCTCTTAAGCCCCTTTGTTTTAGAACACAGCGAGACACTACTGCTGAACATCCTCAGCAGAAATATTGCAGTAATGAAACATTTGACTGATTCATTCCCATTTATACTAATATGAATGCAAATGGCAGAAAAGCGTGGGTAGCTCGCAGATATTTGATCATATATTCCAAAGATTAATGATCTTATCGATCGTTATTATTCAGCTGAGAGTGCTGAATTAATGAGGTGTGAGGCATTCAATGTGGAATGCTAAAATGAAAACAGAAGAAAGGAACATTTAACACCATAATGTGTTGCATTTAATGACCTACATATATCGTTTTTATTGCTCTAATGCACACAATATTTTTGTGGTTGCTTCTTCTTGTTTTCCATATCTCTTTGTCTTTTTAGCCACAACCACAGCCAAACGTCCATGTGTGACAACGCCTGCAGTGACCTTTGACGGATTTCCTCTCAAAAGGGTGATGAAAGACAAAATAATTGCTTCTTTTCCAAATGTTTCAAGCTCAAATCTCTCTGATGCCTGATACTCGTGTACATTGCAATCAACTGTCCTAAACACGTCCCCCTCACCATCAAAGTGTTGGATAAATGATGTGTTTATAGAGGAGAACTCAAATGTGGCTCTAGCTGAACAAAAGTGTGCAAGCCACTTTGAAATATTTTAGCTTCATTTCATCAGAGTAAAATCTTTTGAAAGAGGAAAGCGAGAAAGAAAGCGGCAGTCGGAGAGATGGGGAAATCATCTCCACGCTCTCGCACTGACTGCAATGACCCTCAGGCCATTTTTTCTGGCCTCCGTTTTGAGACAAGTGATTTAATTGAAAAAAAAAAAGAGGAAAGAAATGATACTTGTGGAAGATTGTGGTTCTGAGTCATTAACTGCAGGGAGGTGCACTGGTTAAGGCGACTAATTGAATGTCAGCATGAGCCATTGAGAAAGAGCTCAGGTGCAGTGTCAGCAAAACCAGATGGGCGGGTGAGGGCAAATAAAGAGGGTTTAATCTTATTACAGGAATAGTTGGCCCAAAAATCATTTACTCACCCTCATGGCATTCCTAACTTTATTTCTTACGTGTTACACAAAAGAATGTGCTTTGAAGAAGAAACTCTTTTTATGCATGCAATAAAAGTCAATGGGGTCCAAGTACAGGTTTGTAAAAACATGAGGGTGAGTAAATGATGACAGAATGTTCTTTTTTTGGGGGGACACTATCCCTTTAAGTGTCTCAGTTCATCTACATGTGTGCATGTTTGTGGCTGCCAGTTCACCAAACTCTCTTTATGTTGGATCAAGTGCAGCTTCAACTGCAAGAACAATGTTTACAAGAGGTGTGAACTATTGCTCCCTCACACACCACATTATCTCACTCTGTCTGGACCTTCTTCCTCATTCACTGGAAATCCAGCCTGCATTGTCCACAGACACGGAAAGGGAGTCTCAGAGCAGTATCTTCTCTGCTTTATGTCTTCCCTGCGCTATGTTTTTTGGCGCTCTTCCACCATTACACATGCACAGCAGGAAGAGAACTCTTCTCCAGATGCTCCCCATCTCTCACTGATAGTCGCAATTCATATTCAAGAATACGCAACCAGATTGTTTCATTTTTAGCCTGTTAGAATTTCAAGCTAATTGGGCGCAAAAGCAAAAGCACCATAGAAAGTCTCATGCTGCTTCTGGATTACTTCAGTCTGTGGAGTCCAGGCACCTGGTTGTTTTTCAAAGCCTCCTCAACAGGGCCCGGCTCTGGGACCCCCACACTGCAGACCGCCTCTAAAAGCCTGTGATAGGAACATTCAATCTGTCTGCTATCGTTTCATCAGATCACTCTTTTTTATTTCCATCCCCCTCCTCCAGTCTGAGCTTTAATGGGAACGAGGAGAGAGGCAAACAGTGATTCCAGGTATCAGGAGTTAATGCCGGATCTGGGGTATGAGATAGGACCCTGCGAGAACCAACAACAACTTGGCACAGAGGCCATTAATCACTGCTTGTTTGGAATCTGAACCAATACTCTTCTTTTTTCAATTCAATTTATCTTTCTAAGCACTTTTTAAATACATCTCACAATCAATCAATACAGTAGGGAAGAGTGGGGTTAAGATGTGCTCCAATCATCTCAAACTGGTTTCTTGAACATGCCAATGAGTTCACTATACTCAAATGGCCTCCAGTCACCAAATCTCAATCCAATAGAGCAGCTTTGGGATGTGGTGGAACGGGAGATTCTCCCAAATCGTGATGCTGTCAAGTCAATATGGACCATAATCTCTGATAAATGTTTCCAGAACCTTGTTATATCTGTGCCACAAAGAATTAAGGCAGTTCTAACAGCAAAAGAGGGTCCAACCCGCTAGCAAGAGTGTATATATAAGACATTGTGCATTCATAAATAGTTTTTTTTCTTGTTTATGGTCATATTTTTATTTACAATGTAAATCATTTACGAATTTCACAATTATTCAACACCTTGACATGACACATCTTACCCCCAATAATGTGGGGAAAATTGTGTCAATGGACCATTTTTCTTAAAGTCTTTCAGTATGCTAAACATACTGAAAGATAATTAGAAATATTAGTTTAAAAAGTGGCGCAAATTACTAGCCTGGGAAAACCCAGACAACTTCCGGCAAATTTAGATTTGCTCTGAAAGTTAGTCTGGCAAAGAGCTCATTCAAGCTCATTTCCAATCCGCCGAAATCGCGGCACCAATCAGAAACGTTGGGGCGGGCTTTACACGATGACGACAGCGCTGGGATTTTGAACATGATTTTGAAGCAGATTTTGTAGCCTACATTACAAAGATGGATGCCGCCGTCGAACATCACTCGTTCGAATCAGCTATCGCGTCTGTTTTAAGCGATTTGAACGTTTCCTTTTAGTTAAAAACCGAGCAAAGAGCAACACTCGGAGATGTTTTTTTCCGCCGCTCTGCATACGTCATCTCCTTCATCACTCTTATTGGGTTTAGGTCTATCCGCGACGTCCGTTGGTGACGCCCCTCTGGAAATGATTTGTCTATGACGCTTTGCCAGACCATAACTCAGTTACAACTGAGAATGGTCTGGTTTTAACCAGGCTAGCAAATTACCCAACTCTCCCAAATAATTAAAATTCTGTATTATTAAACTCAGAAAATCACCGGCATCTTGTGACAGAACAGATGTCCCGTGACAGCTGGTGATGTACGTGTGTCCTGCAGAAGTTATTTAGATGGTTTGGTGCTTTGACGGATGCCAGTCTATGGCAAGCTAGGAGTGTGTGTGTTAGTTGGGATGGGGGTCGTGCTTTGTAGGTTAATTAGGAGTGGGTATGGAGATGAAGAATGTGTATATATGCGTGTGTGGGCTGAGTTTATGTGGCTAATTAGGCTGGGAATCATTCAAGCTTCTGGGGGACAGATGTAGGGTGTATATGGTGAGCAGGTTGGGGCAAGTAGGCAGGGAAAGCTGCCAATTTAGTGTGAGATGGTCAGGGAGAGTATATTTATATGTGTCAGTGTGACAGGCAGTGGCAGGTGTGTTACTGTGTCTCTGTGTAAAAGTGCTGAGTAAAAGCACCAGGGCACCAGAGAAAACTGGTTGAAACCAGTCCGGACTGTAATGGGGGGTGTGCCATGGCTGTCTGGCATACTGGACATGCCGGACATAGTGCATAAATCTCCACTGACCTAACAGTTACTGTACTACTGCTCGGGACTTCCCCATTCAACACACGTGTTGGATCACACTCAGGGCCGGCCCTGACCAATTTGCTGCCCTAGGCAAGATTTTACCTGGTGCCCCATGCATTACAGCCCATTTCACCCCATCATTGTGTTGGTGATTATTTAGTCATGTATATATATAGCAAGAGCATTACATCTAGCATTCAAGTCAAGTCCCCTTTATTTTTATATAGCGCTTTTTAGCCTACAATACAGATTATTTCAAGGCAGCTTTACAGTGATAACAGGAAAATAATGCAACAAAGTTTGCTTCTCCTGTACAGCAGATCTAGAAGAAAATAGTGTCATAATCAAGCTTAAGTATGTTCAGTGATGGTTTATTTTGTTGTAAAAAAATATTAATTTTATATGTAGCTTGCTCTGGATAAAACAGTGATGTCATCGTCCAAATGTCATTCATGCACAAACTATTCATTGAGCACTAGCAAAAGTGTTTGTTTGGGAGTTGATGGCAGCAATCTTCCACTAAATTATGGCACAGTTCATGT